TGTCACTCAGGTCTTTACTTCTCTCTGTTATGATGTCACTCAGGTCTTTACTTCTCTGTTATGATGTCACTCAGGTCTTTACTTCTCTGTTATGATGTCACTCAGGTCTTTACTGCTCTCTGTTATGATGTCACTCAGGTCTTTACTTCTCTCTGTTATGATGTCACTCACGTCTTTACTACTCTGTTATGATGTCACTCAGGTCTTTACTTCTCTGTTATGATGTCACTCAGGTCTTTACTTCTCTGTTATGATGTCACTCAGGTCTTTACTGCTCTCTGTTATGATGTCACTCAGGTCTTTACTTCTCTCTGTTATGATGTCACTCAGGTCTTTACTTCTCTGTTATGATGTCACTCAGGTCTTTACTTCTCTCTGTTATGATGTCACTCAGGTCTTTACTTCTCTGTTATGATGTCACTCAGGTCTTTACTTCTCTGTTATGATGTCACTCAGGTCTTTACTTCTCTGTTATGATGTCACTCAGGTCTTTACTTCTCTGTTATGATGTCACTCAGGTCTTTACTTCTCTGTTATGATGTCACTCAGGTCTTTACTGCTCTCTGTTATGATGTCACTCAGGTCTTTACTTCTCTGTTATGATGTCACTCAGGTCTTTACTTCTCTGTTATGATGTCACTCAGGTCTTTACTGCTCTCTGTTATGATGTCACTCAGGTCTTTACTTCTCTGTTATGATGTCACTCAGGTCTTTACTTCTCTGTTATGATGTCACTCACATCTTTACTTCTCTGTTATGATGTCACTCACATCTTTACTTCTCTGTTATGATGTCACTCAGGTCTTTACTTCTCTGTTATGATGTCACTCAGGTCTTTACTTCTCTGTTATGATGTCACTCAGGTCTTTACTTCTCTGTTATGATGTCACTCAGGTCTTTACTGCTCTCTGTTATGATGTCACTCAGGTCTTTACTTCTCTGTTATGATGTCACTCACATCTTTACTTCTCTGTTATGATGTCACTCACATCTTTACTTCTCTGTTATGATGTCACTCAGGTCTTTACTTCTCTCTGTTATGATGTCACTCAGGTCTTTACTTCTCTGTTATGATGTCACTCAGGTCTTTACTTCTCTGTTATGATGTCACTCAGGTCTTTACTTCTCTGTTATGATGTCACTCAGGTCTTTACTTCTCTGTTATGATGTCACTCACATCTTTACTTCTCTGTTATGATGTCACTCAGGTCTTTACTTCTCTCTGTTATGATGTCACTCAGGTCTTTACTTCTCTCTGTTATGATGTCACTCAGGTCTTTACTTCTCTGTTATGATGTCACTCAGGTCTTTACTTCTCTGTTATGATGTCACTCAGGTCTTTACTTCTCTGTTATGATGTCACTCAGGTCTTTACTTCTCTGTTATGATGTCACTCAGGTCTTTACTTCTCTGTTATGATGTCACTCAGGTCTTTACTTCTCTGTTATGATGTCACTCAGGTCTTTACTTCTCTGTTATGATGTCACTCAGGTCTTTACTTCTCTCTGTTATGATGTCACTCACATCTTTACTTCTCTGTTATGATGTCACTCAGGTCTTTACTTCGCTCTGTTATGATGTCACTCACATCTTTACTTCTCTGTTATGATGTCACTCAGGTCTTTACTTCTCTCTGTTATGATGTCACTCAGGTCTTTACTTCTCTGTTATGATGTCACTCAGGTCTTTACTTCTCTGTTATGATGTCACTCAGGTCTTTACTTCTCTGTTATGATGTCACTCAGGTCTTTACTTCTCTGTTATGATGTCACTCAGGTCTTTACTTCTCTGTTATGATGTCACTCAGGTCTTTACTTCTCTCTGTTATGATGTCACTCAGGTCTTTACTTCTCTCTGTTATGATGTCACTCAGGTCTTTACTTCTCTCTGTTATGATGTCACTCAGGTCTTTACTTCTCTCTGTTATGATGTCACTCAGGTCTTTACTGCTCTGTTATGATGTCACTCAGGTCTTTACTTCTCTGTTATGATGTCACTCAGGTCTTTACTTCTCTGTTATGATGTCACTCAGGTCTTTACTTCTCTCTGTTATGATGTCACTCAGGTCTTTACTTCTCTGTTATGATGTCACTCAGGTCTTTACTGCTCTCTGTTATGATGTCACTCAGGTCTTTACTTCTCTCTGTTATGATGTCACTCACATCTTTACTACTCTGTTATGATGTCACTCAGGTCTTTACTTCTCTCTGTTATGATGTCACTCAGGTCTTTACTTCTCTGTTATGATGTCACTCAGGTCTTTACTTCTCTGTTATGATGTCACTCAGGTCTTTACTGCTCTCTGTTATGATGTCACTCAGGTCTTTACTTCTCTGTTATGATGTCACTCAGGTCTTTACTTCTCTCTGTTATGATGTCACTCAGGTCTTTACTTCTCTGTTATGATGTCACTCAGGTCTTTACTTCTCTGTTATGATGTCACTCAGGTCTTTACTTCTCTGTTATGATGTCACTCAGGTCTTTACTTCTCTGTTATGATGTCACTCAGGTCTTTACTTCTCTGTTATGATGTCACTCAGGTCTTTACTTCTCTGTTATGATGTCACTCAGGTCTTTACTGCTCTCTGTTATGATGTCACTCAGGTCTTTACTTCTCTCTGTTATGATGTCACTCAGGTCTTTACTTCTCTGTTATGATGTCACTCAGGTCTTTACTTCTCTGTTATGATGTCACTCAGGTCTTTACTTCTCTGTTATGATGTCACTCACATCTTTACTTCTCTGTTATGATGTCACTCACATCTTTACTTCTCTGTTATGATGTCACTCAGGTCTTTACTTCTCTGTTATGATGTCACTCAGGTCTTTACTTCTCTGTTATGATGTCACTCACATCTTTACTTCTCTGTTATGATGTCACTCACATCTTTACTTCTCTGTTATGATGTCACTCAGGTCTTTACTTCTCTCTGTTATGATGTCACTCACATCTTTACTTCTCTGTTATGATGTCACTCACATCTTTACTTCTCTGTTATGATGTCACTCAGGTCATATCTCGTTTCTCTTCTTTGCCGTATTAAGTATCTCCAATGCCGTAAACTCTGGGGGCGATGACAGCTGAGCCGTGAATAAATATGGGCGTGGTATTTAAATGACAATGGTTTCCAGCCGCCACACTGATCAACCATTACATTATCTATAGACCTTGATGTGGATTATGCAACAAATAGAAACTTTTATTAACCGCATTTAAGCAAGCTCGGGTCACCCCTCTGCTCAAAAAACCCACACTAAACCCAGCCCAGGTTGAAAACTACAGACCGGTTTCTCTTCTGCCCTTTCTGTCAAAAATACTTGAGCGCACAGTCTTTAAGCAAGTCTCTGAGTTCCTGTCCAGAAACGATCTGTTTGACCCAAATCAGTCAGGCTTTAAGCGGGGCCACTCGCTCGATACTCGATAGTAGTGAAACTGCACTACTATCAGTAACAGAATCGCTATGAGCTGCCAGAGCTGCTGGTCAGTCCTCAGTTCTATTACTGCTAGACCTGTCTGCTGCCTTTGACACAGTCAACCATCAAATCCTCCTGTCCACGCTCTCTGAACATAATAATAATAATAATAATGTATACTTTATTGATTGAACATCTCAGGATCTGCCCTCTGCTGGTTCGTGTCCTACCTCTCTGGGCGATCCTTTAGAGTGTTGTGGAAGGGAGAAGTGTCCAAAGCGCACAGCTTATCCACAGGGGTACCTCAAGGGTCAGTGCTTGGTCCCCTTCTCTTCTCCATATACACAAGGTCACTTGGTTCAATAATCCACTCTCATGGCTTCTCATACCACTGCTATGCTGATGATACCCAGCTCTTCCTGTCATTCCCACCAGACGATGTTACAGTCTCTGCAAGAATCTCATCATGCCTCGCTGATATCTCTAAATGGATGAATGAACGGCTCCTTCAACTCAATCTTTCAAAGACTGAGCTCCTTGTCATCCCAGCCAGTCCCTCTATGCAACCACAGATCAATATCCAGCTTGGAACAACCAAACTCATGCCCACAATGTCTGCAGGAACCTGGGTGTCATGATTAATGACCAGCTGACTTTTAAGGTTCAAGTAGCCTCGATTGCCCGGTCATGTGGATTTGCCCTGAACAACATCAGGAAGATCAGACCTTACCTGTCAGAACATGCTACATGCTTCATGCTACATAGCTCAGGTACAGGCTCTTGTGATATCACGCATCGATTATTGCAACTCTCTACTGGCAGGTCTTCCTACATGCACTATCAAACCTCTGCAGATGATACAAAATGCAGCAGCACGACTGGTCTTCAACCTTCCTAAAAGAGCACATGTCACTCCTCTGTTCATCTCCTCACACTGGCTCCCAGTTACTGCTCACAACAAATTTAAAACTCTGCTGCTCGATTACAAAACAGACACAGAAACGTCTCCTCCTTACTTTAACTCTCTGATCCAGGTCTACACTCCCTCCCCCCACTACGGTCCTAAGTCTCTGACTAGACTCTTCTCCTCTGTCGCCCCCCGGTGGTGGAATGAACTTCCAAACTCCATGTGATCTGCAGAGTCCCTCTGCACCTTTAAGAAAAAGCTAAAGACCCAGCTCTTTCATGAATACCTACTAACTTAATGATGATGGTCTCCATATTATTGATGATGATGATGGTAATGACGATGGTTTTTGTTTGATAACGACGACTTATAAGATGGTTTCTATACTGATTAGAGCTCTCAAGAACTGCCCTCAATGTTGTGCTTTGCCTCTGGTCACTTCCTGTCAGCACCTGTGTGTCCAATCAGACTCAAAGCTGATCGTTTGCTCTTACTGACATTGTTCCCTTTTTTCTAGATCCTTGCTTGTGTTGTTCTTACTCTCTGATGTACGTCGCTTTGGATAAAAGAGTCTGCTGAGTGAATTGTAGAATTAACGCGCAGCGGTGAAAATGTCAAACTCTGTACAAGAGTGTTGGAATCATTTCCCAGGACATTTGCATGCACACACACACGGTACCTGAAGGCCTCGAGTCCTGTGAAGGCGCCGCTCTGCATGTTGGGACTCGGGTGACTCAGGAAGTCGTTGAGCATGAGGCGAGCTAAAGACTTCTGAACGAGCTTACAGTACGGAGAGTGAAAGAGCAGGAAGCCGAAGTCCTCCAGGCTGAACAGCTTCTCCACGCCGTCTGTCACAAACACCAGAACAAGACGGGGTCAGGGGTCATCTCAACACAGAGGTCACATCCTCTTAACTCATTACACTGTTATCCCAGCAGCCAATCAGGGAGCAGATCAGCAGCTGAAGGTTTGAACCCCTTACCTCTCTGCCACTGAGCCTGGATCTTACTGCAGTACACGGAGTAGCAGCGGTCCAGAGCGCTCAGGTAGCACTCTATGGAGAGCTTCCCGTCCACCACGGGGTACTCAGAGACCAGGTCCGGTTTGTAGAAGTCGTACGCGTGCTGCATGTGGGTTCCTCTCAGACCTGCACATATATATTATTTTAAAATGTTTCAGAGACACACATTCAATCATCTCTGATCAAAACTAACACATCCTGTTTATTTAGAGATGAATAAAGGGCGATTGTTTGGACGTGCCTGTGCAGGTTCTGGCTTTCCATGTCGCCCTTTAGCAGCGGCGGTAACCCGTTGAACGTAAGTCCGTGAGCCTCTCTCACCTCCCCTCTCCGGAGGGGGGTATTGAGCCACACTCCTTTCCCTTACTGCCCTAAACGACTTCCTGTTATAAACGACTTCCTGTTCAAAGACGCTTTAATCGTTTATTCCCCACAAACACAAGAAACTACAGCCGCCGTTACCGGCTCGTAAAAACAATTTGAGATTAGGGGTGTGAGTGGGTGGAGTGGAGGGTGCGGTCGCTTTTCAGAAGGATTCCTCCGCATCACTGCGTAGTCCAATGAGCCTGACCCTCGCCCACTACCCGGACGAAGCGGAATAGGGCGGAAGGGCAGGAAGTCGTTTATAACAGAGGTCACATGATGTCACACTGAGCATTCCTCATCTGTTCTCACCTCGCTCAAAGGCCAGCGGAGCGTTCGGACCGACCAGCATGGCCACCGCTCCTGCGCCCCCAGTAGGCCGAGCACTTCCTGTGGCGTATACGGCGATGTCTCCCGCCACCACCAACGCATAGCGACCTGCAGAGACGACACAAAGAGAAACATCTGGTCACATGATCACGTCCATGACGAGTTCAAAAACCTCCAAATCAACCAATCAATGACCAGCTGAGACACATTAAGAGGGCGAGCCTTTGAACCAATCAGGTTTCAGGTCCACGTTTAAAAGGGACAGTTCACTAAAAACAAGACTTCACTGTTAGCATCATGAATTAGCATGATGCTACATTCTAGAGATTCAAACAAACATGGCCGCCTCCAGACTTCACCTGATATTTTAAACAGGAAGTTTGTGTGCATCCTCACCGTCCCAGGAGCTGGACTCCACCCAGTTGACGGCGTTGAAGAGTGCGGCGGTGCCTCCGTAGCAGGCGTTGGTGGTGTCGATTCCCTCCACGTCCGTGTTCCCCGAGTCCTCGAACAGCTGCATGATGACCGTCTTCACCGACTTGGATTTGTCAATGATGGTTTCTGTGCCGACCTCGAGCCGGCCCACGCTGTCGTAGGACAGGTTGTTCTTCTCCATCAGCCTCTGCACCACCGTCAGGCACAGCGAGTTGATGTCCTCGCAGTCTGAGCAGAAACCCATTCGAGCCTGACCCAGTCCCACCGTGTATTTACCCGCCGCCACGCCATCAAACTGCTCAAGCTCCGCCTGGTCCACGTACTGAGACGGGAAGTACAGCTCCAAGGCCATGATGCCTACATCTTTGGGCCACGGTCCCAAACAGCTGATCGAGGCGGATCCTGGCATCCTGAGGGGGGGGACACAAGAGGATTGGGGGGAGGGGGCAACATGAGCCGGTGTAACGGTTTAAAGAGTGACCGTGTCAACAGGTGTCTTTCAGCACTATGAGCCGGTGTAACGGTTTAAAGAGTGACCGTGTCAACAGGTGTCTTTCAGCACTATGAGCCGGTGTAACGGTTTAAAGAGTGACCGTGTCAACAGGTGTCTTTCAGCACCGTGAGCCGGTGTAACGGTTTAAAGAGTGACCGTGTCAACAGGTGTCTTTCAGCACCGTGAGCCGGTGTAACGGTTTAAAGAGTGACCGTGTCAACAGGTGTCTTTCAGCACTGTGAGCCGGTGTAACGGTTTAAAGAGTGACCGTGTCAACAGGTGTCTTTCAGCACTATGAGCCGGTGTAACGGTTTAAAGAGTGACCGTGTCAACAGGTGTCTTTCAGCACCGTGAGCCGGTGTAACGGTTTAAAGAGTGACCGTGTCAACAGGTGTCTTTCAGCACCGTGAGCCGGTGTAACGGTTTAAAGAGTGACCGTGTCAACAGGTGTCTTTCAGCACCGTGAGCCGGTGTAACGGTTTAAAGAGTGACCGTGTCAACAGGTGTCTTTCAGCACCGTGAGCCGGTGTAACGGTTTAAAGAGTGACCGTGTCAACAGGTGTCTTTCAGCACCGTGAGCCGGTGGTTGTCCCATGATGCCTCTTCAGTTTGCTTTACGTGTCTGATCAGAATATCTGACATTAAAAACTAAACAAGAATGCAGAAAGTCACCAGTTAGCACGGTCTCTCTTTTCACCACTACACCAGTTAGCATGTCAGCTCTCTAGCTGCTGTAGGATTATTCTGATACTCAATGCGTTCATTAGATATTATTACCTGTCTGCTTTACTTCACATTTATAAACTACATTACCCAGACTAACAGAGCTAACAGACACAGGTTAGCTAACTGGAGCATATGTTAGCTCAGAGTTTGACAGTTAGTTATTTTATTTATTAATAATCATGAAGGTGAATAAATGACGTTCAAACAGAGAACATTTAAGATCATTAAAACTTTAACTTGTGTTAGTGAAACTCGATATCTGTGATTATTTACTAGAATCATCTTTAGATAACGGAGAGCAGCTCACTGGGTCAAAGGTCACCGACGGGATTTCATGATAGTTCACGTAATACAGTGAACACACCGGCTGTTAGCACAGAAGCTAACCGGTTTAAACAAACACTATATGAATATAAATACATACATTTATATAATTATATTTAGAAACAGCTCGAGTCACGTTTCTACCCGGACACATTATCTGACGGACCCGCTCCCAAAGCAGCTTAGCATTAGCATTAGCAAGAGTTTACTGGTGTTTGTATGAGCGCAGTGTTAGCAGGGTGCTAACAGAGCTTCAGCTGACCTGTCAGGTTGTAACAGGTGACATCTTACCTGTGTGTTACGGTGACTTCCGGGAGGTAAAACGTGAACTCCGTGATATTAGTGTGGAACTCACCGGTCCGGTGTCACGGTATTTATACGTGACGGTGACCGAGCAGCGGACAGCCTTCACTGCAGCACCGGACCTTCCGTCCAATCACAGCTCACAGATGACATGCGCGTTAGAAAGTCCCGTAGACTCCCGGCCAATCAGCGGTCAAGAACTACCACCACGCGCAGGAGCCGTATCGGCGGCCCAATGGCGTCACGGGTACGATGTCTGGTGAGAGAGCAGCAGCCAATCAGAGCGAGGCAGTAACTCCTGGCGCGGCGGACACACTTCACTGAGCAGCGGCGTTTCCATGACAACCACGGCCCAGTACTGTTTACAGTGATGACGTCAGCACTCAGGTAAGAAATGAATCACTACATTAAAGAAGTTATTCTCACTGATAATAAATCACAACCAGTGATGACGTCATTCTTTAAATTAATAAAACAGTTTAATTAAATTAATTATCATGAATTATTCAGCTTCTCTTATTTTGTTAAATAATCCAGAATCTGTACTTTCATCTGATTTTTGTTTTTGTCTCCAAAGAAAAGTGAATGAAATGAGTGGAGAACTTTAATTTATCTTCTTCTGTTAAACGTTTAAAAGTTTAATGTTTTAACGAAGAGAGAGAGACACACACACACACACACACACACACACACACACACACACACACACACACACACACACACACACACACACACACACACACACACACACACACACACACACGAACACACACACACACACACACACACACACACACACACACACACACACACAGAGGAGTGTCAGGGACCCTGACTTGTTTAAATGAGACGCCGTCAGGCTGTAAGGAGGAATATTTATCATTTTATTGACTCATCAAACATCTCCTCAGTCTAACAACAAATAAACATAAATATATGTTTATACACACACTCAACAGTAAAAAGTTCACTGATGAATTTCATGAATATTTAGTGAGGCTTTAACATAAAGAACATTTTAACACTCTGAACTTGACGACGAGCTGTACAACACACACACACACACACACACACACACACACACACACACACACACACACACACACACACACACACACACACACACACACACACACACACACACACACACACACACACACAGGTCTGTTTATAAGAAGAGGGTGTTATGTCTGGTTGTTTAAAGTCTCAGTCTCAAGTCTTCCTCACATCATGACGTTCATTAGTCGTTACATTTTGGTCCCATTTTGGGTCAAAAGGAGCAAAAAGAGGGGAAGGAGTTGGGGGCGGGCCTACATGTGACTGACAGGCTGCTACCATGGCAACCAGAAAACTGATCAGAGTTTGGCTGTACTAAAAGAAAGTATGTGTGTGTGTTATTAGCCTTTACCTTATTAATGTCACAGACTTGCTATAGCTGATAGCTTAGCACTTGCTAATCACATGCTCACATGATGACCACCCTTTTGTCCATATATGGTCATATCCTGCTCCGCATGGCAAACATCAAACTTGTAAACAGTGGAGGACAAACAGTGAAGACGTCCACTTCTTATAAACAGAACTTGGTCATCATCATCACAGCAGCCTGAGTTAATGGTACCTTCATAAACTGATGAAACAGCGAAACAGGAGAACACAAGAGCTTAACACTAAATCAGTTCATGTCTCTGAACTCTCTCAGTACTGATGAAATCAAACTTCTTAAAGACGTATAAAAATACAAACTTCTGTCATTTTACAGGGAGGAGGGACAAATCTGTCATCTTCTTATTGAGCAGATGAGTTTCTGTCCCACAGTAACAACAGCTGACTGCCTGCATGAGGCTCCAACTCCTGCAAGACGACACAGAGGGAATAACACTTTAAAATAAGTCAACTCCTGCAAGACGACACAGAGGGAATAACACTTTAAAATAAGGAGAACTCCTGCAAGACGACACAGAGGGAATAACACTTTAAAATAAGTCAACTCCTGCAAGACGACACAGAGGGAATAACACTTTAAAATAAGGAGAACTCCTGCAAGACGACACAGAGGGAATAACACTTTAAAATAAGTCAACTCCTGCAAGACGACACAGAGGGAATAACACTTTAAAATAAGGAGAACTCCTGCAAGACGACACAGAGGGAATAACACTTTAAAATAAGTCAACTCCTGCAAGACGACACAGAGGGAATAACACTTTAACATAAGTCAACTCCTGCAAGACGACACAGAGGGAATAACACTTTAAAATAAGTCAACTCCTGCAAGACGACACAGAGGGAATAACACTTTAACATAAGTCAACTCCTGCAAGACGACACAGAGGGAATAACACTTTAACATAAGTCAACTCCTGCAAGACGACACAGAGGGAATAACACTTTAACATAAGTCAACTCCTGCAAGACGACACAGAGGGAATAACACTTTAACATAAGTCAACTCCTGCAAGACGACACAGAGGGAATAACACTTTAACATAAGGAGAACTCCTGCAAGACGACATCTGGCCTAAACAGACTCACCTGTCCGTCCCTGCTGATCTGCACCTTCTTGTGGTCGTTCCAGGGGTTCACGATGTGCTGGCTGCAGTGGAAAGGTAAACTCTCTCTGTGGATCCAGTCCACACTGAACACCCCCCCCAGACCCACAAGGCCCCAGTCCTGACAGCTCTCCCTGCTGACAGCCGACGTCATGCGAGCGTAACCCTAGGAGACATCACAAACATCATGTGAAGTCCACAGATTATCACCTGTGTGCTGCAGGTGTGTCTCCTCTGGACCTGTGTGCTGCAGGTGTGTCTCCTCTGGGTTTACCTGGAAGTGTCCTGAGCCCTGCGCAGAGAAGACCAGGATGATGATGCTGTGCTCAATGAAGGCTCGGCTCAGTTTGGTCTCGTTGCTCGGCGTGGTGGACCAGATCCCTCTCTGCTGCGAGATCTCGATGTTCCTCATGTTGCTGCTCTTCATGATGAAATATCTCATGGAAGAGAGAAGCAGCTGAGGAGACGCCGAGTGAGACGCCTGCAGGGAGACAGAGCCATGAGGAGACAGAGGGATGAGGAGACAGAGGGATGAGGAACACAGAACGGTGAGGAGACAGAGCGGTGAGGAGACAGAGCGGTGAGGAGACAGAGCGGTGAGGAGACAGAGCGGTGAGGAGACAGAGTGGTGAGGAGACAGAGCGGTGAGGAGACAGAGCCATGAGGAGACAGAGGGATGAGGAACACAGAACGGTGAGGAGACAGAGCGGTGAGGAGACAGAGCGGTGAGGAGACAGAGTGATGAGGAGACAGAGCGGTGAGGAGACAGAGCCATGAGGAGACAGAGCGGTGAGGAGACAGAGCCATGAGGAGACAGAGCGGTGAGGAGACAGAGCGGTGAGGAGACAGAGCCATGAGGAGACAGAGCGATGAGGAGACAGAGCGGTGAGGAGACAGAGCCATGAGGAGACAGAGGGATGAGGAGACAGAGGGATGAGGAGACAGAGCCATGAGGAGACAGAGCCATGAGGAGACAGAGCCATGAGGAGACAGAGCCATGAGGAGACAGAGCCATGAGGAAACAGAGGGATGAGGAGACAGAGGGATGAGGAGACAGAGGGATGAGGAGACAGAGCCATGAGGAAACAGAGGGATGAGGAGACAGAGGGATGAGGAGACAGAGGGATGAGGAGACAGAGCCATGAGGAGACAGAGGGATGAGGAGACAGAGCCATGAGGAAACAGAGGGATGAGGAGACAGAGGGATGAGGAGACAGAGCCATGAGGAGACAGAGCCATGAGGAGACAGAGGGATGAGGAGACAGAGGGATGAGGAGACAGAGCGATGAGGAGACAGAGCCATGAGGAAACAGAGGGATGAGGAGACAGAGGGATGAGGAGACAGAGCCATGAGGAGACAGAGCCATGAGGAGACAGAGCCATGAGGAGACAGAGGGATGAGGAGACAGAGCCATGAGGAAACAGAGCCATGAGGAGACAGAGCCATGAGGAGACAGAGGATGAGGAGACAGAGCCATGAGGAGACAGAGGGATGAGGAGACAGAGCGGTGAGCAGACAGAGGGATGAGGAGACAGAGCGGTGAGCAGACAGAGGGATGAGCAGACAGAGCGGTGAGCAGACAGAGCGGTGAGAAGAGTGCTCTAAGTGCATTGTGGGTAATGATTTTACAGGTAAATAAGGACGAGGAATGTGTGTGTGGTCTGTTTTCTGATCCTTTTTAAATCAGCATCAGACGACGTCACAGGTGAGAACAACACACAGAGGGTTTCACAGTGGTTACCTTTCCTGAGGAGGCGGGGCTGTCAGAGGGAGTGTCCACAGAGGAGGAGTTAGTGGAGGAGCGGGTCTTCACACAGTAAGGTCTCGTCTCTGCTGTTAGCTTTCACCTGAGGACGTCCTGAACTGGCTGGAGTCCTGCACAACCTGACACAAACAACAACAAACGTCTTTTAATGTCTAATTGCCTGAGTCTGCAGGATGTGTCCGGGGGTTTTGATTGGTCAGTGAGCCTCAAGGGGTTTTGATTGGTCGGTGTGTCAGTCAGCCTCAAGGGGTTTTGATTGGTCGGTGTGTCTGTGAGCCTCCAGGGGTTTTGATTGGTCGGTGTGTCAGTCAGCCTCCAGGGGTTTTGATTGGTCGGTGTGTCAGTGAGCCTCCAGGGGTTTTGATTGGTCGGTGTGTCAGTCAGCCTCCAGGGGTTTTGATTGGTCGGTGTGTCAGTGAGCCTCCAGGGGTTTTGATTGGTCGGTGTGTCAGTGAGCCTCGTGTGTGAGTCGTCTCCTCACCTGTCGCTGGTGGACTGGGGGGGTATTTGTGGGCTCTTTGAGTTCCTCATAGAGATCTGGGGTCCCTCCTCTGATGACATGGGTCGGGTCTCTGTCCGATCCCTGGGCTGCTGAAGCCCCGCCCCCTGCTCCTCTGCTGTGAGGACCTGAGGGACAAAGTCAGAGCTGATTGGTTGAACCTGACTCACAAAGTGAAGAGTAAAACATGAAAGCAGCTGTAGGTACAGATGTAAGAAAAGAGAAGATGACCTACAGACACAAGGGTCCTGATGATGGACTCGTCCTGTTGGCTCCAAGGTTTAGAGGGACACCTGATCCTCCTGAGGAACAGGTTCTGCCACTTCTGCCTCAGATCAAACACCAGACCTGCAGCCTGATGGACCAGAAGGGATCCAGATTCATTAAACACAGACCAGAAGAGGGGTCCAGATTCATTAAACACAGACCAGAAGAGGGGTCCAGATTCATTAAACACAGACCAGAAGAGGGGTCCAGATCCATTAAACACAGACCAGAAGAGGGGTCCAGATTCATTAAACACAGACCAGAAGAGGGGTCCAGATCCATTAAACACAGACCAGAAGAGGGGTCCAGATTCATTAAACACAGACCAGAAGAGGGGTCCAGATTCATTAAACACAGACCAGAAGAGGGGTCCAGATTCATTAAACACAGACCAGAAGAGGGGTCCAGATTCATTAAACACAGACCAGAAGAGGGGTCCAGATCCATTAAACACAGACCAGAAGAGGGGTCCAGATTCATTAAACACAGACCAGAAGAGGGGTCCAGATCCATTAAACACAGACCAGAAGAGGGGTCCAGATTCATTAAACACAGACCAGAAGAGGGGTCCATTTGTAACCCTAAATATGAGACTTAGTTTCTAATATTCTATCAAAGGAACAAATTCAAAAGGTTAAAGTTGAGTGTTTAAACAGCTGATCTGAATGATGTCTTCATGATGAGCAGGTAAAGCACACAGCAGCGTTTCCTCACCTCTCTGTCACACTGAAACACCAACCAATCATCAAGCTTCATCTCAGCCAGTCCTCCACCTCACTGTCACTGACCTCATCCAGGGGAGCGTCTGAAAGAGACGCACCAAGTCTGAGAGGACGGCCGAAACATATACTGTTCATACAACACAAAAACAACCTGTCTGTGTGTTACCTGTGTGTTACCTGTGTGTTACCTGTGTGTTACCTGTGTCTGTGTTACCTGTGTCTGTGTGTTACCTGTGTCTGTGTGTTACCTGTGTGTTACCTGTGTCTGTGTAACATGTGTCTGTGTTACCTGTGTCTGTGTGTTACATGTGTCTGTGTTACCTGTGTGTTACCTGTGTCTGTGTTACCTGTGTCTGTGTTACCTGTGTGTTACATGTGTGTTACCTGTATGTTACCTGTGTCTGTGTTACATGTGTCTGTGTTACCTGTGTCTGTGTTACCTGTGTCTGTGTGTTACCTGTGTCTGTGTGTTACATGTGTCTGTGTTACCTGTGTGTTACATGTGTCTGTGTTACCTGTGTCTGTGTTACCTGTGTCTGTGTGTTACCTGTGTCTGTGTGTTACCTGTGTGTTACATGTGTGTTACCTGTATGTTACCTGTGTCTGTGTGTTACATGTGTCTGTGTTACCTGTGTCTGTGTTACCTGTGTCTGTGTTACCTGTGTCTGTGTGTTACCTGTGTCTGTGTGTTACCTGTGTGTTACATGTGTGTTACCTGTATGTTACCTGTGTCTGTGTGTTACCTGTGTCTGTGTTACATGTGTCTGTGTTACCTGTGTCTGTATGTTACCTGTGTCTGTGTGTTACCTGTGTCTGTGTGTTACCTGTGTCTGTGTGTTACCTGTGTGTTACATGTGTGTTACCTGTATGTTACCTGTGTCTGTGTGTTACCTGTGTCTGTATGTTACCTGTGTCTGTGTGTTACATGTGTCTGTGTTACCTGTGTCTGTGTGTTACCTGTGTCTGTGTGTTACATGTGTCTGTGTTACCTGTGTCTGTGTTACATGTGTCTGTGTGTTACCTGTGTCTGTGTGTTACCTGTGTCTGTGTTACCTGTGTCTGTGTGTTACCTGTGTCTGTGTGTTACCTGTGTCTGTGTGTTACATGTGTCTGTGTTACCTGTGTCTGTGTTACCTGTGTCTGTGTGTTACCTGTGTCTGTGTGTTACATGTGTCTGTGTTACCTGTGTCTGTGTTACATGTGTCTGTGTTACCTGTGTCTGTGTTACCTGTGTCTGTGTTACCTGTGTCTGTGTTACCTGTGTCTGTGTTACCTGTGTCTGTGTGTTACCTGTGTCTGTGTGTTACATGTGTCTGTGTTACATGTGTCTGTGTTACCTGTGTCTGTGTGTTACATGTGTCTGTGTGTTACATGTGTCTGTGTGTTACCTGTGTCTGTGTGTTACCTGTGTCTGTGTTACCTGTGTCTGTGTTACCTGTGTCTGTGTGTTACCTGTGTCTGTGTGTTACATGTGTCTGTGTTACATGTGTCTGTGTTACCTGTGTCTGTGTGTGTTACATGTGTCTGTGTGTTACCTGTGTCTGTGTGTTACCTGTGTCTGTGTTACCTGTGTCTCGGTGACCAGCAGGATCCTGGAAGGCGGAGTCAGGCAGTCTTGAACAGCCTCCAAAGATGGCCACAGTGATGGGCGTAACCACAGAGCAGCAGCGAACGCTCGCCACCCTTTGACCTCGACTCATCTCATTGTAGATCAGCCAATCACTGGGCAGAGTCCTGGGGGACCGCACCAAGTCAGTCTACAGACAGACAGACGCACGCACGCCGCGCGCGCGCACACACACACACACACACACACACACACACACACACACACACACACACCACACACACACACACACACACACACACACACACCACACACACACACACACACACACACACACACACACGAGTAAAAGAAATTACTCTACTGAGCATGCTCATCACTGAGCATGCTCAGTAGACAGCAGGTGTTCTTGTTCTTGCAGTACCTCCTTGTTGTGGGCGGGGCTGAGGATGGAGGTGGGGTGGAAGATGACCTTCTTCTCTCTGGTACTGGACAGCAGGGAGGTCTCTGGTTCATGTGGACCAGGTTAGGATACATGCCAGCCACCAGTGCCGCCTTCACCACAGCCCAGTTTTCAGAGTTCAGGTTCACATCCCGGATGTCACTGCCCCCGGGCACGCACGAAACCTGCAGGACAGAGACGACCGATCGTTTTCACCCTTTGATGGTCAAACCTTCAGACTCAGGTAAGATGCTGACCCCTGCTCTGACCCTCTCAGAGGGGCTGTCAGGATTAAGATATCAGGGAAGGACTGTAACGTCACTCCCTGAGCGCTGCAGATTACAGGTGGTCGTTTAGCGTTTAGCTGCAGGTCCGTCCTGTCTGTTGACAACGGTCGCTGTATGAGCGACACTGCTCAGTTACTTTTTACTGCATGCTTGATATTTGAGGTCGTTTATTTCCCTATCAGACACGGAGCGGAGGATGAGGGTACATGACACGATCTGTAGGAGGTTAAACTACGGGAATATCAAACATGTAGAAAAGAGCGCAGGTGACAGATTTATAACTTGAGCGCTCGATGAATTACATGAATGTAAACAAACTGACCGATGGCTCGTAGCTGTCCCAGCAGCTGGGTCCTCATACCCAGGATCATGTCCATGGTGGCCTGAGACAGGAAGTTCTTCTCACAGAAGGATCTCTCCCAGCCGTCACTGCGAGCCTTCTGCCACGCCTGAAACACACAAAACAAACGTCTTGAACATCCCGAGTCAGAGCATCACACAACAATTAGTGATGAAACACTATGAAAAGAATGATGGTAAACCTAGAGGTTAAAGGTCAGGGCCTGAATTAGCTGAGGTGAAACCTAGCAGCCACACCCCCCCCAATTCTACATCATTTAACAAGTGAGTCGTATAAACATTCAGCCCGAACAGTTGAAGAGAGAAATGAGCTCTAGAGACACAAACTGGTTTAGTACCAGGATGTAAACATGTTTATTTTAACATAGAGCTCTATGAGGACTGACTCACTGCAGGAGACAGACTCTAGTGGACACTGGAGGAACTGCAGCTGTAAAGTTAAACATTTTAACATAGAGCTCTATGAGGACTGACTCACTGCAGGAGACAGACTCTAGTGGACACTGGAGGAACTGCAGCTGTAAAGTTAAACATTTTAACATAGAGCTCTATGAGGACTGACTCACTGCAGGAGACAGACTCTAGTGGACACTGGAGGAACTGCAGCTGTAAAGTTAAACATTTTAACATAGAGCTCTATGAGGACTGACTCACTGCAGGAGACAGACTCTAGTGGACACTGGAGGAACTGCAGTTTGTTTCTAGAGGTTAATGTTTTCATAATTTCTGCCGTCTGGT